AGCCATGCCAAGTTGAGTGAGATATACTTCTCGATGGCAAAAGCATACACACAAACTGAATTTCATAGTCTGATGGAGAAGGTTGAGAAGGTAGATATTAGGGTGAAAGAATATTTAGAGTTAGCTGGTTACGAAAAGTGGGCTAGGTTGTATGCACCTGTTAACAGGGGATGGACAATGACGTCAAATATTGCTGAGTCAATCAATGCAGCACTAGTTTCAGCAAGGGAATTGCCAATATATGACTTCCTCGAAGAAGTTAGGAAGATGTTTGGTCGTTGGAATTGTAGTAACCGTAAAGAAGCTACTCAGACATACAAGACGCTTGGGAAAAAATACCAGGAAATGCTGGAGTTGAATGAGACCATGTGTACCCGTATGACTGTAAGTTAATTTTTTATGGCATTGTTGTATACAACTGAATACATTTTTTTAGGCAGAACTACTGGTATGCATTTTTATGAATATTTGCTTGAATTAGTAAATAATATAGATGAATACAGGTAAATACATGTTATTATTAAGACTGTATGCATGTGATAATGATTACAATGGAATTCAGGTGATTGATACAGTTTAAATTGATTGGAAATACCTGAATACATCTGCTAAAAAAAGGTTGAATACAAATGCATACAAATGCAGACTGTAGAGTAATACAGTTGAATACAGTTGCATACAGTTGCTGGAATCAGCTGAATTTAACTGAAATTGGATGAAGTTGCAATTTTTGAAGTTGATAGTAACCATTTAACTCAGTAGTATATATTTGTTAATTCATGTAAATGTGTTCAAAACTTATATTTCTGTTTTTAAATGTAGGTGGTACCCTCAACTGAATACTTACATACTGTTAACGATGGTGGGAGGAATTACACAGTCTGTCTGCTCGAGAGAAAATGTGTTTGTGGGAGATTCCAAATTGATGAATTGCCATGCCCACATGCCTGGGCTGTATTGAAGAGCAAGTTTTTAATGCCTGAAGAATATTGCTCTAGCTATTACAAGCCAAGTACAATTGTAATGACATACGATGTGCCAGTGTACCCGCTACCGGACAAAAATGACTGGAATATACCAGAGCATGTTGCAGAGGAGGTTGTACTACCACCCAAATGGAAAAGACCTCCTGGAAGGCCAAAGAAGAAGCGCGACAAAAATTTAAGTGAATTGTTGTTGCCGAAAAATCAACATTCATGTAGCATATGTGGGCAGGGAGGACATAACAAGCGAACTTGTAGGAATGCTCCACGTAATAAATAGTTGTATTCTGACATGTATTGGTGACTCGACATTATCAGCTATAATGAATTCTTTTTTCGAAGTAATATATTGTGGAATGACTTTCGTTAATATTTTATGAATTTATTTAGTTGAAGTATTTTTATATATATAAATATATATGATTTGGCTGTGAGAATATCTTAGTATAGTTGAATACAACTATATCAATTCCTTAATACAGGTGAATACAACATGTTGAACATAGTTGAATATAGGTTAATAATACAGTTTAATTCAATTGACTTTGGAGGAATACAATGTAATACAGTTGAATACAGATCTGGACAGCTGGTTGAAACAGTTGAATTTAACTGACATTGGATGAATATAGGTAATTCAATTGTTCAATACATTTGAATACAACATGTTCAATAATGTTGACTATAGGTTAATAATACAGTTCAATTAAATTGACTATAGCTGAATACATATGAAATCAGAGAAAAATACAGCTGAATACAGCTGAATAATACAACTAAATACAAGTTAATCAATATAACTTGTATTGTTTCAAGTCAATTCAAAGTTATATCTGAATGGATGCAGCTGAATATACTTGCATACCAACTGTAGACAGCTGATAAATACACTTTAATACAACTGAATTGAACTGAATAATATAGATTAATACAATCAGCTAAACAGAATAATACAACTAAATACAACTGCTTAATACTGAAAGATAAAGCTGATCTTATGCAGCTGAATACAATTCAAAAATTGGCATTAACAAAAATCATTCAGCATACATAAAGTTTCAGAAATTGTAACTAACATGTGCGTTAACTAAAACCTGTTCAAGCAAACTTAACCAAATTTCAGCATGTAAGTAAATAGCATCTACGACCAAAACCACTACAATCAGTATCATTGTTCAAGCTAAACTCAAAAAAAAACCTAAAGCTATTCTAAAACTATCTGCATCTTTGCCTCCGACTCAGAGATTTGCCTTTCAATCTTTGAAGGTGCTTCACTCTCGCTTATTGCATCAGCATCTATCTTGCGCATAGCATAGTCCCATAACAGAGCACCATATCTTTGACGGAGAAGAGTGACATCAAATGGTGTTGGAACTGATCAGGAGTAAGCTTATCTTTTAGTTTGGATACTATATCAGTGTTAGTGTAACTACTAATATGGAGTGCTAATTTTGGCTGGTATTTCACAAACAAATCAATTCCCTGCAATGAACATTGAAAGATACATGTTAATACAGATGAATACATTGCAAAAATACATATTAAGATTTTTTGGAATACATGTAAGACATGATACAGTGACAAAGCCAAATGCATGTCAGACAACTACAAACACTTACAGAAGACTAGATACAGTGACAAGGCTAAATATATGCTAACATACTTTGTAACATACAGATATAATACAAAATATTTAAGATGAATACACCTGAATACGTATGAATGCATATGAATACATTTGAGGTCAAACTGGACAATTGAATTATCGCAAATATACATTAGCAAACGCTAAATACACATGAATACAGGTAAAATTACATTAAAAATGAACTGTTGGAAACAACCAAATGCACATGAATACATAAACATATTATAGAAGAAACAGAATACACTATACAAAAAGGTACAAAAATAAAAGAAGATACATATGAATACAACAGAATACATGTAACAAATACCAATTACCTTTTGGTTTCTTGAATCTTTCATAGGTTTTTTCCTCTTTGAGCCAACTTGATTTTTGGTTTCTTTTGAAGCTTCATCAACTTGGACTTCTTTCAACTTATAATTGTGTAATTTACTTCTTCTTTCATCAACTTTGGATGCTGATAAACCTGCAAAATCTTTCTCCGCTTGAGTCAGTTGCAACGAGAAAGAGGGCCCATCAAAATTGAGAATTTTGGTGGGTATACCTCTGGGTAGTCTGTTGAGTGGCGTTGCATCCGACATTAGAGAGAAAACTCAAAGAATCCTGGTGATTAACAATACAAATGGAAGATATATCAGAAAATTGTGTAAATTCGCTAAAAAAACTTATAGAAACAAACTAATGAAAAAGCAATTTCGAAGTAGTTGAATTACCTACGGGGAGAAGATTTCCAAAATACAACTGTGAAGCTCTAAAAAATACTTGAGAACCAACTTGCCCGTCAAAATACGCTTGAGAACAATTGCGAAGAAGAATGGTGTGTGGGGTGATAATGGCGGAGAAGTATAGGCGATAATGGCGGAGGAGGGTTTTTGAAGTATATGGAACGTCTGTTTGTGGGAGAAGAGGGAAAAGTGTATTGAAGAAGAGAGAGAAAAGTTGATGAGAGGAGATATACGCTAATTAGGTGAGAGAAAATAAAAAAAATGAGATAGAAAAATATTTTGTAGCATATATTAAGCCTTAATTTTAGGATGGAACTAAATTTAAATTTTTTGCTATAAACTAAAAAGGGTATTTATAGAATGTAATATTTTAAAAGGGTATTTATAGAATATAAATAGGGTACTAACCTATTCTATAGGTGGTAAAATTTNAGTTACTTACCTTATTTATAATATGTAATTGACCCACTAGCCACTTATTTAATATACTATATTATATATAATAGTAAATTCTCTTCTACTAGCTTAGGCCTAATCTATATTATATTAAAAGGAGAGTAGTTTGCAATGTGGTTAAGCCAAGTGGCAAACTAAAATGAAGCCACTTGACAATTTAAGACAAAAAAAAAAAATTGGATTATAAATGGAAAAATATTTAATGAAAGTAGTAGTCCAAGATTTTCTGTAAATTGAATTTCATTCTTTAATAAATCAAAGCCAATTATTTGAACATTTAAACTAAAAATGTTTTCTTTTTGAGAATCTGTTGGACGTACACAAAGAGGGATACAACTTTCATTAAGCAAACAAATATATTATAGCTATAGATGTCTTTACTTAAATTTATGTATATTTCAGTTATGGTAGGTAACATTTTTTGAGAAAGAATCAACTAAAATTTCGTTTTGTATCTTACACATTAATTTTAAGTTGAAATAATAATTTTATATTTAGTACAATCTTTGTATCTGACCTTATTTGCGAACAATATACATTAATATAGGTATCATATACATTACTATAAGTATTTTTAATTAAATTTTGTGTATAATTCATTCTTTTGTAAACTAAAAATGTTCTCTTTTTGAGAATATATTGGACGTACACAAAGAGGGATGCAATTTCATTAAGCAAACAAATATATTATAGCTATAAGTA